CACAATTGACTTGTGACCTAACAACAACAACAAAGTCTTTTCCTGGAAATTCACTTTTTTTTTTTTCCCCCTTCAACTCTTTATTGTGAATTGAGTGAAGGTTTACAGAGCAGGACATCATTTTACATTTCAAAAATAATAAATCATATACTTTGCTTCATTACATGGTGTCATCCCCTCCATGTACCAACAGTTAACAGTACTTACCTCTAAACAATTTATCTATTGTGTTCTTTCCTGTGTCTCCCACTAGCTTCATCTTTCCTGTGCTAACCTCCCTCTTGTGGTATATTGCCTGTCCTCTCAAGCATAATAATATGTGTCTACCCACTAATGTGGCACTGTGGGTTAATGAGCCAGACTGCAAAGCCATTTGAACTGCAAGGTCGACGGTTCAAGCTCGCCAGCTACTCCTCGGAAATCCTATACAGGGTTGCTATGGGTCGGAACCCAACTTGACGACACTTAACAACAACAACAACAACCCTCTAGCCCATGAATAATTTCCTTCTCGATAACCATCATAGATGGTTTCTTTTATCAAGAAAATCTTTTCTTTCCCCTAACATTTTGCAACACTGATCTCATACAATATTTGTCCTTTTGTAGTTGACTAATTTCACTCAGCATAATGTCCTCCAGGTTCAACCATGTTGTGAAGTGTTTCACAGATTGATTGTTAGTATAGTGTTTTATAGTATTCCATTGTGTGTGTATACTAAAGTTGGTTTAGCCATTCTTCTATTGATATGTATTTAGTCTCTGTGTCTCTCTTCCATCCCCATTCTGCGACTAAGCACATTCATGAAAGCTTTTAAGCCAGTCATTTCATGCTTTGTAGTCCTCCCCCCTTTTTTTGATACCCAATATCTAAATTTCTCATCCCTTTCAACCCAGTACACTGACACTTACATACACATTCCTCACCACACAAAATTCTAAATGGTCACTCACAGTGTTGTAGCTCAAACACCCTCCCCAGATGGTGGTCTAGAGGACTGACTGGGTGCTCCCAGATGCTTCTTCTTCTGCTGATGCAGCTCCTGTGATTTTCTGAGCCAGCTCAGGAAGGGATTGCAGGATGGGAACAATGTGTAGACCAAGAGTCGCCACTCTCTACAGGCTTCCTGCTACGGTGCCCTACAATTTCTACTCATGACCATGGTGCCCTACATTATCAAAGCCACTTCTTTGACATCGAATCTGAAATATTATCAAAACCAAATCACTTTCTGAAATCCCAACTTCAAGTTAGTCTTTTGCACTCAGTTTTGTGGAAGACATGCTACATGTACACTCTATGTACTATATTCCACTTCTTGGCTAAGGGGCAATTTCACAGACTCCAAACTTAACAACTAGGAAACTGTAGGCTTTTTTTCTGGTGACTTTTGTCAAAAACTGAGATAACATGGTGATCATTGGCCACATGCAGTTGTTCTTGTTAAGTGCCATCCAATCAGTTCTGACTCATAGTGATCTTGTATAAGGCTTCTCAGGTGCAGCTGGTGGTTTTGAAGTGTTCTTTTTTTATGATTACTGTAACACCATTCCTCTTCAATTTGTAATTTTTAGCATAGTAAACCACATGATTGTAAGAGTAATACCAGTCTATTTCAGCTCACCAATGCCTAGAATATAGATCTTGATGTGTTCCATTTCGTTTTTGATAAATTCCAATTTTCTTAGACTTATACTTTGTATATCCCATGTCCCAATTATTAATGGATGTTTACAGCTGTTTCTCCTCTTTTTGTTTTGTGCGTAGTCAACAAATGAAGGTACTGAAGCTTTATTTCATTCATGTCATCATGGTCATTTCTACTTTGAGGAGGCAGCTCTCCCCTGTAGTATTCTGAATGTCTTCCAGCCTGAGGGCTCATCTTCCTCCTCTATACTTAGCAATTCTCTGGAGCTACTCATCATGTTTCAGTATTCAATATTCTGGTGCTGTCTGGCAGTATTTCACTGATATTCATAAGGTTTTCATTGGCTAAACCTTAAGTAGTTCACGTGTCCTTCTTGCTAGTTTCCCTTAGTCTGGAAGCTCAGCTGACATCTGTCCACCATGGGTGAACCTGATTTTCT